TACGTGGCATTTTTAGTGTACACTCATTTAATTTACCAGTTTTTGTTCCAAGTAGAAATGTTTTGTGAAAATATACTGTTTACTTACTTATGTTGCTGCTTTAAGTACACTTGTACAATAAAATGAGAAGAGTTTGTTACAGTACATTGCAGGACTTTGATAACAGCTTCAATACTGCTGCTAACAGAAATCAAGCTATGAGCACTCTGGAGTTAACAACATGATTTTATCTAGCTCGAATTTGTGTTGCTGGTAAAAATAGTAGATCATCATCATTAGATGTATATGCCTCTCCTTATTTTTCACCTGTACCCGCACAAAATAAAATGTGTGCCCTAAAACTAATTGTTTATACTGAGCATTAACAACAACATAGTAAAGTTTTAGTTATATCCCCTGATTTATTCCACTCCTCGTTGCAGTTCTAATTCAGCATCTTTGCCATATGCCCATTTTGTTTCAGTTTTTCCCTGCATTGTGGTACCTACATATTCAACTGAAAGATCACTAGACTAAGCCACTGAATTCAGCACAGACAAACAGCTAAAATGGAAAAATTCTGGATATATGTTTACAATTCAGCACAGCTGTTATGGGAACTGGCTTAATACTTTGGAAAAAACTGCCACCACCGAGGGAAAAAAACCCCTCTCTCAGCCATTGGAAAGTGAATTTAGAATGCACTAGTATTCTGTGTAGCTCTAGTGTAAACCAGAACTAAACCTCACCTATTTTTTCATTTCTTTTTAAGTAGAAAATTTAGGGAGGAAAAGAAGCATAAGAGTCAGGCAAGACCACTAATTCCTAGGAACTGGCCAGGGGAATAGAGTCATTACCTTCCCTTCAGAAACAAGCAGGCCTCAAAGCTTACAACTACCCAACTGAAATGTCTGAAATAGTACCACTAGCACTAATGAGATTGAACTTCTGTTTCTTCCTCTTCCTTCAAGCATGCCACCTGCAAAGCAGGGCTGGGGGCATCCTCGAGTCATCCCCTCTTTATCCTGCCCTTGACTCTCAGAGTAACACATTCTTCAGGCCTTCTTGTTAGATGCCCAAACCATCCACCTGCTTTCACTCACCCCTTGGCCTACTGATATCTCTTTTGTCTGTTACCACACCTCCTCCTTCCTTACAGGATTTGGTTGACTCCACAAATCTACCTTGTCACCCTCCACACCTATTGTTTCTTCACTGCTCAACCATACAGCAGGACCAACCTTATCACCGTCTTGCAGAATTTTCCCCTAAAGTGAACTGACATTTTCCTATGCAAACCATTCTACTTGCTGCCCTCCATCTTGAATGTGCCTTATTTATTCTGATCTTCATTTCCTCATCTGTCCTATTTTCTTGCACAGTGAACTCCAGATTTTTGCACAGATGGTACATGCTGGTAATCTAATGCCACAGGTATGTTTCCCTCACCATCACTTGAAAGTGAGTACGACATGTACTCTGTTTTTCCTGCTGATGCACAGATCATACCATTCCAGACGTGCCTCCAGGATGTGTCTCATCTGTCCAAGTCACTTTCTATCTGTTCTCTGCTTCCTGTGATCTAGACTACATCACCTGTGAATGCCATGCACCAGGACACCCTTCCAAATAAGTGAAGTAGTCTTGATTGCACTCACAATATTTTTTACACTCTGTGAGAGGGAGCTGTGTTGTTACAGGAAAAATGGGGGGAAACAGCTGCATTTTGTAGATCCTCTGGGATAGACAGGGTTGGCAAACATATTACTTGCCAATTACTTGCCAGACGGTTTCAAGACTGGTTTCTTCCTTCTTTAGGGAGAACACTACAAGTCTCCTCTGAGGATGACTACGGTTCCTCTTAGGAGATGGGATCATTTGCCCCATACTATTTTATACTTTATTTTTTAACCCTTTCAGGTAACTGGATGTAGTCTGCACTTGATAAAAGGGTGACTGAGCAATTACAATATATCCATATTCATTCTTCTACTGGGCAAGAATCTCCTAACTTGTCGTACCCATTACAGGCTTATGAACATAAGGAGGGAGAAGGAAGAGCACCGTTAACTTTTATTTTAGAAAGATCAGTTTAGCAACTAATAACAATAATAATTTCTCCCGTGACGCAGTCACTCTGGCCTTGCAGTCTATAGTCTGGAGAAAATAAGGTCACCTCAGAACTTGTTCAGTGAATTTCAGCATAAAATGAGTACAAAGGTGGGTGAACGCAGCGTGCACAAAAATGCTGATAATCCAAAGGGTGTGGTGCTTTGAATTCGTGCAGGACAGCCACTACCTAATAAGCAAGGGCTGAATACATTTAACACCAAGACTGCATATCCTGGATTTCATATGGCATATTCTCTGGCCAGTCCCAGGATAGGCTCCAAACAAGGATCTGATGCTGCAAGATACAACCTACTACATTTACCCTACATGAGTCAGAATGCAGACAAATATTAAGGCTTCAGAACAATTTTCCTATTAAAAAAATAACCAACCCTCCAAAATCCTGTTACTTAAAAACATGTTCCTTTATACTGTGAAACGTTTCCTAAGTCAGCGTTTCCCAACCGGTATGCTGCATTTTGGGGCTGGAGCCGCACCCCCCGCCTACTGCTAATGTGGACACAGACAGATGGGGGGCATGGCTCCAACCCAAAATGACATCTGGCTGGCTGCACACCACCCTCCCGATCGGTGTTTAGCTGGCCACATGCCACTCCCCCCGCTATGCGTCCACTGTGCTGTGGTACTTTTTTATTTAGGTAAGTGTGCTGTGAGGCGAAAAGGGTTGGGAAACACTGTTAAGTGACCTTAATGCTGCAAACTCATACGTGCTTAATTTTAGGTACACAAATAGTCACTTCAGCTGATGGCAAGCCCCTGAACTACAGGTTTCCCTCACTTTATGCATGTTCTGTATGTGAACATTTGCTCTTATGCAATGACCCTTTTTATACCAAAAATGTTATATGCGAGGTAAATTCACTCTTATGTGATCAGTGTGGTGCAAGCCCGCAGTCAGCGCTTTGTGCGGTGCATTGTGGGAGTGATACCCACCAAAATACAGTCTCTTGTGTGGATCTGAGCTCCTCAGTTTTTGTCTGCGACGTGTTTCTGTAGTTGCCATCCCCCTTGTGGTATTCATCACCACCCTGTGCTTGTGTGTACTGTGTGCTGTTGGTGAGTACCAAATCTGTTTTGTAAAAGTGGTACAAATGGGTTTGGGGGTCAGTATAGTCGAGGTCTTGAAATGTATCCCTATTTGTTACATGGTAAAGTGGGTTGCCTTCATGCAAATTCAAGTGGTGTGCCGTGTGTCAGGAATACACGTACAGCATAAAGCGAGGGAAACCAGTACTTACATGCTTGAAGTCATGCAAAACTCTTATTGGCCAGCTCCTTTACACACAGGTAGGCAAAGAATCTCTTTTGAAACTACAAACTACATCCTTTGGACCGCACAACATAGAATTGCATTATATCTCCAGATTAACAGCCAAATATTTTGTGTAAAAGAAATATTTTAATCAAACACATAACATTTAACCATTTATAACACTTTAAAGGTATTCTGAATAAGCCATATTCCTACTACTTTTTTCCTCTTTACAGATAATCAGAACTACAACAGAAGTGATAATTTACAAATAGAGAACCAAAAAAATAATAATTTAGCTGCTTAGAAGGGCAAGTTGTTACCCTGTGCCATGCTGCAGTCATATACAACACATCTTCCCTATCTTCGTTCTCCTCGCCCAGTAACAAAGACAAATAAGCACAGTTGGGATGGAGCGATCTTCCTTCCACCTCACCATCTACGCCTGGAGATTTACAAGTGGTGAGCTACAGTTTACAGGAAGTGTCTTCCTAATTCTCCAGCATATAAGGAATTAATATTTTTTTTAAGTTTTCATAAGCTTCACGAGACACCTTAGCACTTCTAGAACCCAATCTATTTGCCACTAAAATATAGAAAGATTACTGACTCATCAGGGATGCTTGAAATCCATTTCCTGAGCAAAACCACAGCAAAATTTGCCTTTCCGCATGTGTCGTCCATCGCGCCCCTCCCACTCCTGCTGCTGATTGGCTGTGGGGCCCCATGCCCTGCCTCTGATGGGCAAGAGGCAAAAACCATGTTTCTGCCCCAGTTTTGTCTCTCATGGATAAGCAGCAAGGCATGGGGCCACTGGGGCCCTGCTGCCAATCAGTGGAGGAAGGGGGACACAGCAAGAAGAGCAAGAATAAAGGTGCTGCTGCCCTGCATGCTTCATATTTCCACCACAGTTTTGGTAAGTCCCTATGAATTTCATTTTACCCACAGAAAAACACAGGTTTTGGGCTTTTTGTCCTGAGATTTCCCCACTTTTCTCTGTGGAAAACTAGGATCCCTGCTCATTATATTTACTTTAAAGGAAACTGAACTGTTCCCATGGGGTCTGGTGTCTTGGGGCTTTTAGCAACGTCACTGTGGAAGCCATGCAAATAATCACTATTCACAACCTCCCACTGGTCCAGCATGCTTTGTAACCTCCTACCTGCTAATCAAAGTGGAAATTTTCATTTAAACCAAATGCAGAGGCATGCTTTATTAAACCAACTGAAAACTGTGTCAACCCACTGTTTATCAGAAAATTATTTTTTCCACAGTGGCAAAGGAATATAATGTTGAAAGGCTTTACTGTTTTCTGACTGTAATATTAGTGTGAAGATACTTAAGAATGCTAAGTGTCCAAGTAAAGAAAAAAATGCATTTTCAACTGAAAACCCATAACTACATATTCAGAACTGCATTTTGCTAGTCTAATTACAGCAGAGTTGTATACAAGTTGACTACAAAGCTAAGAGATTTGGTCAGCGGATCAAAATCCATTGTATTGGTAAACATGTTGATAGTATTCAATAAGACATATTACAATTATTGACAAGATTATTTCAGATTGTCCAAGCAAAATATTTTCAATCAAGACACAATTACCTTATTGATAAAAGTATTATTTAGGACTACCTACTATAAAAATTGCATCTGTTTCACACATTTGTAACTGGGAAATTAAGTACAGTGACTGAGAACCTAGCCTGCCAAAGCACATCTGTTTAGGTAAAATGAAATGATACTTTCACTTCCAATGGAAACTGTGATTAGAAAAAAAAAAAGTTCTGTCACTAAAATCTAGATATTTATCTATTTCTTGAGAGACAAATACTTTTATTATAAATGAGCACATTAACTTGGTTACAAGGTCAACATAGTATCTGATACAGAAATAGGCAATTGCCTAGTGCTAGACAAGTACATAGAAACCAAGGAATATTCATGCTTTAAAAAATGGCAGCCATTTATTGGGTTTTTTAAATTCAGAATGTACCTTGCCACTCCTTCAACTTCCCAGTATTTCAAAACACTTTTCACCGTGGGCTATCAACTTTCTCAAGACAATTATTAGCTTCCATAAAATGCCTGAAGACCTGATTCTACCCAGCTAGGATGGATGCAAACTCACTGACTTATAAAATCAGTTTACACACTTCTCCTGAGCAAAGTTATATTTCACCTGACTTTTATTTTTTATTATGACAGTACTCTAAAATAAAAGTCACGTTTATATCTCTTCTAAATATTAGACATAAAACTGCATAAACATTTGCATCAAGCTGTGCATATGCAATTACATACCACTCGTGAGCAATTCTTTCTACCATCTTCGGTTGGCTTGGAGATGCCATTTCCATCTGGCAGACAATAAACTGGCCTTAGATACTCATGGATTCATTACCCCTCGGTTAGACCTCTGTAGTGCAAGATGCTGGCGGACAGCCTTCAGCATGTAGGAAACTCCCAACAGGTACAGAAAAATGCAGTGCATCACCTCAGCAACCCTAACTACCTAACCCTAACTATGCATCAAATCTGCCTTTTGTTCTCTATGCTGTTTTCCCCACAGACAACTGAATCACGTTCAAGGTCTTCATCTTTGTCCTCAAAGTCCTCACTGGCCTGGGCATCTAAGGAGCCTGGTGAACACCAAGGCTGCTCCTCAGACATAAGGACAAAGCTCATCCTAGTGGACAACAACTTTCTCAGGGGCCAACCCAAGAAAGCAGGATGAACTCCTGCACCCACGACAGGGGCATCACCCACCCTCACCCCTTCTGGGCCAGGCCAGTTTCTTGCCTCCCTAACACAGGGCCCTGCCACACGTTCAGATTAGCGCTGGACAGAAAGAAACCGGCTGTCTGGCATTGTCAAGCGCTGGCTTTGGCGCCGGGGGGCTTCGTTTTTATAGCTTCACGGTTGTTTTTATAACGATGCTAGTCTTAAGCAGAGTTCAGGGTACCGTTGTACAGGATGGGGTGGAGAGGGATGACCCCGTCCCTACTTCGCTGCTCCGAGCCTCCGGCGCCATCCACCTGCCAGGGCCGGGGGCGCCGTAAGCTCATGGCGCGCGTCACAGCGGGGCCGCGGCCGGGCGGCGTCGCGTGCACCTCGGGAAAGGCTCTCTGCCCTGCCGCCCCCGCTCTGCCCCG